AAAATAACAGTGAGCAGAACTGTGCTCTTGGTAATCTTACGCAGATTTGAGTTTGTGCTTTGAATTCTTTCCAGTGAATCCAGCCACCTTAGGCCTGCAGTTTTTTATAGGTCTGGCAAGCAGATATTCCAGTCTCCCAAACTCCTTGCTTTACAATAGTCCTACCTACCCAGTAAAAGCCCTACTGGCCTTCTAATAATGATGACTGTTAACTATCCCTCATCCTCCTCGAGCTGCAAAGCTGGCTCTTTCCTTCTCTCAGTCACGTGGCCAAGACCTGGCGTTTCAGCCCCGACCCTGGCTTAATCCCCTTTGAGACCTTGGACAATTCCCTTCACCTCCCTAGGCCTCCTTGGATTCTGTGTGTGCCCCTCCCCAACCCAGAAGGACGGTCCGGCTCTGCCCCCTCTTGTAGTCACATACGACTGCGCTCACAGCCGTTTTCCTTTGCTTCAGGGTGAAAAGTGTGATTTCCATTCACTCTCCCACGGAATTCACCTGGGGTTCTGTGTACACTGTGCGTGGCAGCATGGACTCCTGCCCCTGCACTGCCTCTTCCCTCAGGGGCTCGGAGACTCAGAGAATCTGAATGCAAAAGCCAAGGCCAAGCAGTCACTGTCACTGCAGGATGGGGCTGCCCTGAGACTCCAGGTCACATCTCAGGGAGAGCATCCCTTCTGGGCTGTAAGGGAGCTCAAAGCTGAGCTTGTGCTTTGATTCCAGATGCCACAGCAGCCTGGGGCTCTACCATCTTCGATAGCCAGTAACAGAAAAGCTCAGTTTCGCCCCTTCAGATCTCCTGAATCCCAAGTGCCAGTTAGCCTTTACCCCTTCCTCTCTATCGTCTTCTCATTTCTCACCACATCCCTTCATGCTGTACAGCAGACATGACGATTCCTATGGCAACAACCTTCAACACCTTTTATCAAGGATAACAGTTATCTTTTCAAGATTCTCATTTCTTGTCACCGAGAGCCCTGTAAAACAAGAATAATAAACCCACCCGCAGAGTGGAGAAGAAACAGCAGGGGTTCAGCATCAGCTGTGCCCCAGGCACTGTGCTGGATGCTCTAATCCACATAATCAGAGGCCCCCCTGGATTCTGTGTCCCCACGTAGAAACAGAATACTAAGTTCATTTTATGGATGAGGAAACTGCAATACAGAACGATTGAGTAATTAGCCCAAGGACACCTTACTCAGAAGCAGCAGCGTGGAATCCGAACCCAGAACGTCCCATACCAAAGCCTGCACTATCCCCACTATATCATTTGCAGTGAGATAAAGCATTTGGAAGTGCCCAACTAATGCCTAGCACGTGATGGGCACTCAGATGTCTTAACAGGTCAGGCACACAGTAGGCACTCACTATGTGCTAGTTCCCTGTCTCATCCTTTTGTAGCCACATCACCTCCACAGTTCCTTCCAGACGGGAGATGGCTGGGGCTCAAGGCTGAGCCCTTGTCGTGAGTATATCCTGTGGTCCATCCGCAGACCTGTCTCTAATCTGCAAGTATTTCAGGGACCTACTATCAGGATAGACAAAATACTCATCTAGTTAAATCTGAACAGGCCAGTAAAGTCTCTCACTGTATCAAAGCGCTTTTCCTCCCTCTCCTGTCCACCCCAAACTACCCTGGCCTATTGCAAACACTTGAGTTAGTCTCCGTTCACTCAGAGACTACACAGCAACTCCTTAAATGAGAATCGAAGAACATTAGCACCAGACAGACCTTGTCTTAACATTCCTCAACCCGGTTTCTACAGCAGTGATTTGCTTAAGATCACACAGCTGAGCACTGGCAGTACCTGCAACCCCGAATGGGGTCACACTTGTAAGCAAGCTAGATGGGTGGTCCTTTAAAGGCCGAGGACTGCAGTGGAGACCAGGAGCTCAGAGTAAGTGCTCGAAGCCAGAAGCAAACAAGCCTTCAGCTTTACCCTTAGCTCTTCCCGGTGGGGAACTGCCAGCGGCACCACAGCCACACTGCTGCCACCTAGTGTCGAAGGCCCTGAACTCCAGTCTTGGTGCGTCTGGCCTGGGAAAAGGCTAGGGATTGAGCTGTGTGCTCGGTGGCATGGGACTCCAGTGCCTTCTGGGTCACACTAGACCCCAAACCTGGTATCTGGGGTATAGCACCGGGGGGACCCGGTCAAGTGGCAATCTCTATGAAGGAAGCAGAGGCTGTTGCCCAACAGTCCTAAACATGGTCCTGTCAAAACCAGAAGATGCAGGACTGAGGTTTTTACGTGAACAAGTGGCCAAGTGTCCCACCTGCCACTGTCCACGTGGCCCCCTCAGGAAGTCCTCAGGCTGCCGCTGCACAGCAGAATAAAGCTAACGGGCCTGGGTTCAGCGGGGGCAGTTGGGATTCTGCACTAAGGACAGGGGTCCTCAAAAATCCTCTCAGAAACCTCAGAGTGTGTGGGGATCATGTCCTCGCCCTCTCCCCCATCCACCTCCTTTTGCTCTCCTTTCTCTCGCTCAGGCTGAATCAAGGAAAATCTGAATTCATGAATATGCAAAATATGGTTCCAGCTGCCAGACATCCTCCAAGGCTTGGCTCAAACAGTCACCTCCTACATGGTGCTACCCCTAACTCCTTCTAATTGGAAATATTCACCTCCCTCTGGAGCCCACAGTTCTTTCTATAATCATTAATGGACTCTGCAATTTATTAGCCTCAGTCTCTCCCAGGTCTCTCCCTATATTAGAGCGAAAACGCTTTAGCGTTACTACTCACAGAGCCTAGCTTGGTGCCTTGCACACGCTGGATGTGCAGTGTCTGGTAGATGAATAAATAAATGGACCTCGGCAGAAAAGAGGAAACGCACAGAATGCTTTCAGGAAGTGCAGTATTGCTAGATTGGCTTAGATTAAATCCTAGTGTATCTGAGCTAGTCTGGGATCGGCCAGTGAGGACTTGGGCGGCGGGGAAGTGTCTCAGGACTCTCTCCCTAGAGCCCAGCTAAGTACAGTCCAGGGCAAGCACTCTCCAGGCCCTGGGTTGCAAGTCACTTTGCGGCACTCAAAATGCCCTAAGGGGTGGGGGAGGGGTGGCATCCTGGGCTATTCCAACCTAGAGGTAAAGGTCCCTGCCCTGTTCCACCTTGGTGCGTACTAGAAGCTCAGGAGTATGGTCCCTTTAGAAACTAGACAAGGACAAGTGCTAGGAAAAAACACATGCAGAAAACATAAAATGCCCTCAGGTTTAGGAATGCCACCCGGTAGTGACAGCAGAGTCTGACTGATCTGCACATCTCATCGGCAGAACCCAAGGGTGAAACCACTTTCTGATCCTTCCCACTCCCACCCAGAATGCAGACCAGTGGCTGGCACCCAGCTGAGCCACAGGAGCTGCTGATGAGTTTGATCACCGTGAAGGTAGCAGCCCCCAGGTCTCAGGAAGTCTTCTGTAAATTGCAGACCAGGGGACCAGCCAACCACTGGGTCTCTGCCACACAGCAAAGAGACACTGCCTCACTGAGAGCTAGCTAGACCCCAATGGAACGCCACAAAAGTGATTCCCTTTCTGGGATGGCTGCCTCATAGCAGACGCAGGTAGATCTCCTCAGAATGTACCCTCTGCTGACCCCCCGGAACTCTGAAGGCGGGGAAAGGCCTGCACTTGGCTGACCTAATCACACAAGCTGAAGGGCAGACACAGGTGGTTCAAGTCACCACAGCCACCGCTCCAAGCCCACACATTCAACTGCCATCCCAAGCCCAAGGGAGAGAGATCTAACATACAAGTCACAGTGCGTGGCCCACTTCCGCCTCTGCCCCCATTTATGTGTCTTGCCGGCTGGCATCCTGTCAGAACTGTGCTCTAGACACATCAGACCAGCCCACGTACCCGGGCTTGCGGTGCTTCACATGCCCGCTAGAAGCCACACTCAAAAGCTGTGCAAATGTTGGTCCGTGGGTCACTTTTTTTTTTTTTCCTAACTTACAAATTCAGAGAACATCAAAGATCAGAGTTAGAAATGATCCTGGCCACCACTCAATCCAACTCCTCACTCCCTTATCTTATTTTCCAGATGGCCTAGAGGTGACAGGGAGTCCCAATGACAGGAGGAAGGTACGGCGGAGCCGGGCCTGCACGCACGTTGCTGACGCCAGGTCCAGCGTTTCTTCAAGTCTGTCTCATCTTACACTGCTCAGGGCGGGGAAACAGTAGCTGCTGCCTACGGGAGTATTCCCTGGAGGCCAGCTAATCGAAACAGTCCATCAAACATCACAAGCAGAGTCTATTCCATGAGGTCTTCCTATGTGAAGGGGATTCCCTCCAACGACAACAGTCTAGTTCCCAGCAGCGCTTGGCCCCATGGCCCTTTCAGGCTCAGTAAGATCGTGGTTTCATCCTAACCAAATGTATTTTTTTTTTTTAATTCTAGAAATGAAACATCTGGTATCTGCTCCTTCCTCCTGTCTTTTACAGTGGTTTCTCCCTTCTTATGAAATAGCAAAGACTCAGTCGCTAGGGAGGCGGCCCCGTCCTCAGCCACAGCAGCCCCAGGCCTGCTGCGTCCGCCCAGAGGCCCGTGAGCTGTCCCTACTAGCACCAGCAGATGGCGCCACTAGAGGCGAGGTCATAACCAGGACGCCCGGGCACAGCACCTGGATCTGGAGAGCTCGGCTCCTGGGCTCTCCTCTGGGGACCATTTAGTGTAAAACTGACGGCCCAGCAGGGTCCACATCAACCACCCAGGCGAAGCGCCATCCTCCGAAGGGCACTGGGAAGGGCTCGCCTCCTGAGGCCTCCGGGACAGTGCGTGGCTGGACCCCCAGGGCACAGGTTGTGCAGAGGAGGAAGTGACCCACGCGGCAGTCTCCTTCTAAGCCGTGGTCTCTAGTTCCCCTCTACGGCCCACCTCCCACAAAGTCTCAGCCACACCTCCGTTGGCTCTGCTTTGTACTCTAGATGCCTCTGGTCCCAACGCTGAGACCTCAAGGTGTGGTCTCACAGAGACACGGAAGTAACTTACAGACATTGTTTTCAGTGTTTTTTCTGATGGCTGCACACCAGTGTGTGTTAAGGGCATCCACCCTCACGTCTGCTCTGCGGCTAAAACGTTCCCCTCTTCGATGCTCTGCAGCTGCAGCCTCTGACTCGCGAGAGTTCTGCTGCCTCGGCGGCTCCCAAAGCCAACCCCGGGGACGGTCCGTGCTGCAAGCAAGACCCCAGGCAAAGCCTCCTCCCCAAACAAGTTGACTTTGGCTTCAGCCTCTATGGCTTTGGCCAAGCTGGCTGCATAACTGTCCAAGGACTTGTGCACTTCGGCTTTCACGTGAAGAATAGGGTTCTTGGCAGCTTCTGAGAGAGAAAGAAGGCAGAAAAAAGGTTAGCGAGGGACCAGGACCATGGCTATCCCGGGATAGGTCTGCTCTTGCTTCACTGCCCCTGGGAGGGGAAGCAAACTGAGGTTAAGGGTGTGGGTTCTGGAGTCACAGTCCATAAGGTGACAATCCTTGACTCCCCTACTTACTATCTGAGAAATCTTAGAAGTATTTAATCTAATGTCGGTTACCTCATCTGTAAAGAGAAGATCGTGGCACACCCCTTACGTCATGGGGTTCCCGTGCCCGTGATAATTAGACAGCTCTTCCTAAGGTGTTTTAGCCTAGGTCTGGCTCATAGAAAAAGGCTTGATAAATACTTTCTATTAATGACATTCATATTTTTACATGTTTGAAAGAGTTCTCTAGTCTTTCAGCTCCCCAGAGTGTATAATAGCTTTGGCTCTAAACTTCCACAAACCTGAATGTGGTCTCTGTCCTCTCCACCCTTGCTCAGAGATTCCTCAAAGCTATGGAGAACCTCAGGACTGGAAGGAAATTAAAGGTTCGGGTGCCCCTTCCCCCAGGATTAGGACTCCTGACACCTAAAGTGCACAGGAGGGAGGGAGGGAGGGAAGGAGGGAGG